TTTTTTCCTACTTTACTTCTTGAGCAGTCTTTGTTTTAATCTTTTTTCATATTTTAAGTTCTCAGATGTATTGGGTTTAGGTCCTAGAATTCCTGGGGTAGTTCAGTGATTTGTCCATTTCATGTAGCAATACTACACTGCTTTAATTAGTTTAGATGTATAATATGTTTTAATACCTGGAAAACCTAGATTCCCCATACTACTCTCTTCCCCACCAATGTTTTCTTGACTCTACTTGCTTGTTTAATTGCCATGTTAATGCTATACTCAAATTATATAGATTCTATGAAAAATCCTTTTGGAATTAAATTTGATGAGACATAGACTATTTTTTCCCATTAAGCAAGTTGTTGATTTTGAGAGTAAGGTATATTTAAATTATATAATTAAATAGCTGCATATCACAGAGTAAAGTACTATGGGGGAGTACAATTTATTTGGTTGCAATTTTCAACATATATAAATTATGTGGTCTAAATTTTAGTTTTTTTCCTTCTATGTAGGGTTTGGGTTTCAGTATCATATTAATCTCATAAAAAGAGAATGTCAAACACTGCTTTATATGTCTATGCTCCAGCTCAGCATAAGTAGCACTGGATTAACCTCTTCCTTACAGGTTTGGTGGAATTATTCTGTGAAACCATCCAAGTGGCTGCTTTGCGGATAATAGACTATTCCACAAGCGTAATATACAACAGTAAAATTCAAGCTTTGGGGCCCCTTGCATGGTCCCATAACAAAATCATGGAAGGGCCCTGGAAATTTGTCCCCATGGTTATATGCTTTGTCAGATCTGCAAAGTAAGATGCTTTAAATCACAGTTGGGTCAGGTCAATGTCTCTTTCCATGCTAATTTTTGTTACTCTTCTGTTTTTGTCAGATGATGTTGGAGGGGCTGCAGATATTTTTGGGAATCCCACTAAGAGGAATGTGGGAGACTTGGAGAGGTGTCACCCAAACCCCCTTTCAAGAAAGGACTCACTTCTCAACTGAAGGAGGTGAAGGGAGGAGACAGTTTATAGCAGTAAGTAGCTTCAGGGTCCACTGCAGCTGTGGAGAGCCATCTTACCTGAGGGCTGCCCTCTCCTCTGGTGACTGAGTGTGGTGGGGACAGAGGCCCAGGCATTTCAGACCAACACAGAGCAAGCCTCTGACAAGCTGCGCTGTCTCTAAGTCTCCCAGCATCACAAGCTCTGTGTTGCCTGCTTCCTCTCCTTCTTACCACAGATGTTGCTTCTTAATGAATATCTTAAACCCAAACTGCCTCCCAGCATTGCTTTTGGAGAACTTAACCAGAAATAGGAAAGTGAAGTGCCACATACATTTGACTTTAATGGACTACACGCACACACACACACACACACAATGATCTTCAGTCACTTCAATGCATTATTGTATGCTGTTAGCCCACACAGTATGTAGGAATGGCTTTCAAAGTACCTCCATTTCATACTATGGTTACTGACCTGGCATCACAACAAAAAGTACAATGTCAGAAATGATACCGAGATAAGAATTTTTTCATGGTACCCAGTTTGGAAGCATCTTAGTTTGAAACTAAGATTAAAGTGTATGGTGCCAGGGCCTCCCTGGTGGCCTAGAGATTAAACTTCAGCACTATCACCTCTATGGCCTGAGTATGATCCCCGTCCAGGTTGCTAACGCACATATGGGGCAGCAGACCTCTCCTGTCTCACCCCCTGCTCCCCTCAGCAGTGTATTTCAGTAGATCGACCTGTTCTGCTCCCCACTCTGTCTCTAGTGAATCCTCTCACCCATTGCACTCTGGCTTATACCCTCCCACACTAAATAAATAAATAGACAGATTAAATAAATAAATAAATAAACAAACAAAGTGTATGGAGCCAGGAGCTAATCTGTGGAAGCTAATCTTCTAATTATTACACATAATTCTATAAACAAGAAACATGTTTTCAATCCACATCTAGTCAAAATTTATTTGTTGATTTTTCCTTGAAAATAAATACTTAGTAATAGAATATATACATCTAAGAAAGTGCCACCCTTAAAAAAAAATCAAATTGTTCTAAGTAGAATTTATCAGATTCTCACAGGTTAGGCACAAATCTGTAGGAGGACTAACAATAGCTAAAACCTTAGCAAGGTTGGGAGTTTCTAGACAAATGATAGTGCCAAATTACCACCCAAAACTGAGTCTCAATAAACAAGGATTTCAGTGACAAAACACACATATTTGTCAATATGGCAGCACATGTAGCTAACGAGTAATTTGATTACACAATTATGCAGCTTAGTGCAACATAATAGCAATTTGAATTGCTCTAAGTAATGAGTAGCATCAGCTCAAACCTTATTTAAGATTAAACATTGCACAGGAAAACTTAAAATACCTGAAAACACATATATCATATGTGAAAGAAATTTAGTGGTGGTTTTCCCAAATTTGCCAGCAATCCTAAAATGATTTTCTATTATCAGTAACGAGCTGTGGGGCTGAAATAAGTTGAAAAAAGACCATATTCAAAAAACAAATGTCAATCTTGCTAGAGGGAAAACTGAATTGTTTTTCTTGCCTTTCTGAAGAGAATGCTGCTCAAAATCATTTTTAAATGAATAGATCAGAAAGTATGTAACCAAGAATTATAGAAGAAAAAGGTATCATCAATAAGCTAATAAATAAAAATATGTTATTTACCTGAGTTTTATAATATTTGCATTTGGGCTTAATGTTTGTGTTTCTAACTTGTCCTTTTCTCTTTTTTCATTTCAAATAAACGTTCACTTAGCTAACATTTTTGTTTCAAAAACTTGTATCTTTTTTATAAAGAGAGTGACAAAATTATTTGTTTTGAGATCCAAAAAGACCAGAAACCACCCTTGTTCTTAAAAGTTTATGTTTGTGGGGCCTTGGTGGTGGTGAAAGTGGTTAAGTCTCAGCACTATGAAGCTATCGGTAGCCACTGTAGCCTGAGCTCAAACCCTGACCAGCGAGCTGAGCCACATGCGCAGCAGATCTCTCCTGTCTACCATGCTGCTACCCTCAGCAGCGTATTTCAGTAGATCTGCCTGTTCTGCACCCCACTCTGTCTCTGGTGAATCCTCTTACACATACATCCCCTAGCACCTTGGGCCTACACCCCAGCTCTTGTATGCATAAATAAATACATCTTTAAACAAAAAAGTTTATGCTTATATATGTAATTTACACAACTGCATCTTATGGTAGTTTGTCTTAAATTTCTATTTCTTCTTGGATCAGTTTTAGTAATAAGGTTTCCTAGGTAATCATTCATTATATTTGCTTTACCCCCTTTTCTAGTTTATTTGCATATTAACTAAAATAGTTCATAATTCTTTTAATTTTTCTGTCTGTTGTTAGTGACCTTTTTCAACATAATTTGTATGTATGTTTTTTTCTGTTTTCCTTGATTAGGTTACCCAATTGAATTTATCTATTTATTGTAGCCTCCCTTAAAATCTCAGCTTTTAATTATTATTTAAATATTTGTTTTTGCTTAATTACTTTCTGTTTTTATTTTATTCACTTCTTTTTCTTTTTTGACCTGGTATGCCTTCTCTAATTCTTTTATTTCCAACCATTTTTTTGTTTTAAATGTGTCTGTTTTCTCAGAACACAATTGGATTTTGCTTTATAATTCAACTGTATTTTTCAAGGAATGGTCTTTAGCCCATTTACAATTAGTGACATGTTAGATATGCTTAGCCTAAATGTTAGCATCATGATATATTTTATATTTATGTAAATTATCTTTAATATTAAAAAAATTTCAGTGTATAGTCTGTGTTGTGTTTGTTTTAATCATTCCAAAGTTTTATATATTTCTTCTAGATAGTTTCTTTATAATCATAGCAAAATAACACATTTAAATCAATGTTTCTTTAGCAGTTTCGATAGAATTTCCATTTAATAATGACAAAATTGATACATGTCCATAGGTTCCCGTGCCCCATTCTCTATTTAGCTGATCATGTAATTTTCAATGAATTATCATCTTTAAATGCCATATTTCTACTCCAATTTATCAAGAATAAAAGAATACATATACTTATTCTTCCTTCATCTTTTTCTTACACTTCTCTCTTACAAATAAATATCACAATTTGCATTCATTCTACATTACTGGTATTTATAGCATATATACTCTATTCTTATAGCTAAAATACTCAGTTTATATGCTACTCATGTTCTACTTGTGACTATAATACTATCAGTTTCTTTTTATAGATTTCTTTGTTATGGACTAACTTTTTTTTTTTGCTAAAAATCATATTCCAATAATTTCTTCAAGAGGATTCACATTCAGAAATGTTTTCCTGATGCTTTTGTATCTGAACTAGGTCTAAAATTACTGGGCCTTATTTTATTTTTCTTGAATATACTGTGATCCTTAAATTTTTATATTGAAAATATTTTGTTACATGGAGGAAATGTCACAGCATCCAGTGGAATTCCCGAAGACTCAGAAATTAAAGCCATTAAATTGGTCACTCTATATCTAGATAGGTTGAAATCTGATACACTTTGATTTCGTCCCCACTGGTAATCTGGGTCTGCCCCCAGAAATGCTCCTTTCCAATAGTATGAACTGAATTTGGCTAATAGCATTGAATATTCATTAGCAGTTTTTTAAATTTTAACTCAATATTTCCTAATCAAAGCATCTAACACTGGATTTATGTTTATTCATTAAATGAATAAATAACCCTTATTTAGTTGATTTTGTTTATAAACCACATCAAATCTATTGCAATAAGGACCCTCCTCATATTTTTCAATGTCTTTACTTTCTATATTAAAGTCTATAATTTATCACTCCCTTATGTATTCCCTGTGATTCAACCAATCATAAATCTTTGAAGTTTACATTCCTCCCTCACCCCATTCTCAACCTCCCCCATGAAACCAGATACCCCAAACCTAATCTGGTAGCACTGCCTTTCCCATCACTCCACTTATCCCTCAATCGAAAGCACCACGTACAAAGCTGCATGCTTACTTAAGGTAGAGTCCTGCAGGAGTCCTACGTTCTTTTCCCCTGATGAGTCTGCATTTTGACAGCTGTGTTACTCTTTAGGGATTTACCAACTGGCTCCTTGGCTTTCATTTTCCTCCACATTCAGTGGGTTTCTTTGAGTAGTAAATTGTTGTTTTCCTTTCTTCCCTGGAAGAGAGGAGCTGATTTAATTATTTCAAAATGGAATGCATTTTCTCTTGTAATACTGATTAAGTTCTCAGCTACATCTAAGAAATGGAAACACAGATATCCCTGGCACTTATTACTGAGTGGCCATATTTTCTAGGTTCCATTTTGCAATAGAAAAAAACACTGAAAATGAAGAAATATTATGTGGGATGTTGATCCTGGCTCCATCACATGCACACTGCGTGTTGTTCAGAACGTTCAGCTTCTGAGACTTGATTATTTCTCTGGAACTAATGAATCCTGTCTCGTGGCTTCACAGGTTATCATAAGGTCCAAATGAGCCATTTTAAAAAGTTTGCTGGCTGATGCAAACAATAGTTTTTATCATATAGGAAGAAACAAATCAAATTTGTCACGCCTACATGGTCTTTTCTTATCATGTGACTACCATTCTTCTAGCAACAAAATCAATGAAGATTACTATTTAAAGTTTAACATATGATGAACTCAATATATTCTGATTTTTACTACAGTGGTGTTTGATATACTCTACCCCAAGACCAAGAGGTGTGACTTAGGGTGGCAATCAGCCTCAGAAATTTCCATATCATACTTCTAAGTGATGATACAAAAATCCTGAGCCCACTGGTGTCCATTTGCTTCTTCAAGGTAGTAATAAGCTTCCCAACTTATATAATGAGCTGTGTGTCTGGTTCTGGGTGAAGTTCTACTGGGTCTTATCACAGAGGAGCCCATGAAGAGGGTGTAATCTCTTTTGTGTTGTCCAACATAAAAACCTGGTACTGAAGTTTGGCTTCTTTGAATCAGTAATGGTAGTTCTAACATTAACAAATGTTATTTTTAAAGTTTTTGGAGCTAAATATTTTTTAATTACATACGTTTAGATTTGAAGTGAATTCCCCTTGGCAGCACTATGTAAAAGCTTAGATGTAGTTAATTATTTCCCTTGGTGGATGTGTTAGAATCATCTTTTGGGGGAATAGAAAGTATAATTTTTCTTTCTGAGATTTCTAACTTTCTTGAAATTTCAATGATCTCTTTATTGTTTTCCAAAAAGTAAATTGCATAATATTGATAAAAAACTTGAAGAGATTTCATATTCATTTTTTTGATAATAAATATTTAAATTTACATATATATTCTTCCAAATAAATATACACACATGCATACATATTTTTAAATGAAAGTTATATTAAATTCATTAGCAGAGATCTTTTATAAAAATGTTTCTCTTTTCAAATAAATGTGTAATTATCATAAAAAACTTGGGAGGAAACTTATGTTTTAAGTCAGCCATCAGAGAAATAAAGAAAAACAAAAAATTATCAACTAGAAGAGTATAATTGCAACACAATTAATTGACAAATGACTAGAATAAAGAATATATGAAGATCTTCTTTATATGCACAATAAAAAAGACAAAATGCTCAAATGAAAAAATGGATTTAAAATGTATAAATGAGGGATGAAATAGAAACAGAAATACAATTGGCTAAAAATAATACAAAGAAATGCTCTATCTCCATAGTAATTGAGAAAATGTAAATCAAGATAAAAATATCATTTATACCAACTTGATTGACAATCAGTTTTGAGGGCAAACTTGTATTGGATTAAAAAAAATGAACTTTGAACAATGCCAAATTTTGGAGATGTGGCTCAAAGGGAATTCTTACACATAGTTGTTAAGAATAAAAACTGGTACAACTTGACAAAGTAATTTGGCATTCCTTTATAAGGAAAAATATTTGCATACCTCTCCAACCAACAATTCCCCTTCTTGGCATATACCCAAGAGAAACTCTTTCATTGTGTACCAGGAGATATGTACAAGAATGTTCTTAGTGATATTATTCAAAATAGCAAAAAAATTGGAAATGATTCAAATGTCCACTGCTGAGATAATGAATAAACTCTGGTATGGTCACAAAATGCACTTTCATACAACAGTGAAAATTAATGAACTACATTTATGTATTATTTGAACACCCTACCATTGTACTATTCTTGGGAGGTGCAAACCAGGTGAGAAAAAGGAACTGGGGTAAAAAATAATTAATTGATAGAGACCCACTCATGACCAACGGTGCACAGACTATGGGCCGTGGACCATGAGCATGAACCAGGGATTATAATCAGCCCACTTCTATGTACACTAGAAACAGATCTTAAAGATAAATTACCTTCTTATATTTCTTATGAAGAAAGAAAATTTAACTTTGCTTCACAACTGGCATTTCAAGATCACTTACTAAATAGACATCCAGTCACCCATTGTTCCTTGTCCTGGATTTTTATGACTCAATGCTACTTGTACCCCGATACCAGTGATCTCTTTCACTAAATGTCTACTTTAACTAAATATATACTTCTTTCTATTCCTTCTTTATCCATCAAAGTCCTTATTCTTGAAGGTCCAAATCAGTAAGTTCACCAAAACTTTTCCAATCAAAGCCTACTACCTTTCTTAGAACAGATAGAAAAAAGTGACAGAAATAAGAAACACAGAGATACATTAGACAAAATGTATTAGAGACATTGATACCTAGACCCAATGTCTTACAATTTTTTGACTCAAAATTTTAGTCCTTTCTTCTCCATCTCTTGCCTACGAAGCAATTCCTAAGCAGTCTTTTTTAAAAAATGGTTAAGCTGTTACTATTGCCAATATTTTCCAAACTGCAGGTACCCATAAGGCAAGGACTATACTTGTAGCAGATGCCATTGGTGCCTCACCAGGTCCCAGGGAATCCTGTTTACAGGTCAGCTGTGCCCACGCCCCAGATGCTGCAGGCATTGCTGCTATGGTTTGCACTTGCCAACTTCGCTGGAAGGTTGCCCTTGGGCAAACTGAACTACTTTGGAGTTTATCACTCATGGAGTGCCAGTAGCCAATGATTGAATGAGATAATGAAGAGCCTCCTGTCTCAAAATTGGACAAATTCTGCTGTGCAATTATATTCCTAAACTCCCTCACCCAGAATAAGTCTGAAGTTAGACTTGACCTTGCTTGGTGTCTTTTACTTCCTGCTCCATCTTTCCTCACTCCCTTACAGGGGTCTCCTGAGAGAACTCCCTCAATAAACCACTTACACATGTATTCTCCAACAAGCTTTGCTTCTAGGAAACCTGACTTAACACAGTTATTTACCAAAGTGTGTATCATCTAAAACATTGAGAACAATGCTTGAAATATAATCGAACCTGGCATTTGGCTGAATATAAGTGTTAAAGGTCACTGGAATATTAGCATATATGTTGGAGAGAGTAGTCTCTTCTCTTCCTCATCTAGATAAATGTATTTAAGGGCTCTTGATTGTTAAAGACAGAACCAATCTCAGAGTAGCTTATGCACAACAAGATAATTTATTGGTCCACATAACTAAAAAGTCCAAGAGTAGCCAAAAGCAATTTGAGTTAATGATAGGTTCAAGCACAACTGATAGGGTTCTTCTACTCTAATGACTTGGCCAGACATCATCACTTGACCCAAGCATAGTCAAGTAGTAGGCTGATGATTTATATACTGGGGTAGAAATATATGGCAGCAAATTCTGTCACCCACTTATAAAGGGAGGAGATTGATATCTTCTCTCCTTGACTGTGTGATTTTTTTAACCAAAGGAAGACAGAGGAAGTGGTGCTAGATCAAATTTCAGAACTAAGCTTTACATGATTGGGAATCTGTTTCAGTGTTCTGGAATACTAGTCTCTATGCTATGGAGAAGCACAGGTAACTCTGTGGAGATAACCATGCAGGAACAAAATCAAGGCCCTGATCAGCAGCCTCAATAGTCAGCATTATTTGCTAGGAACATAGGTCAGCCACCTTGGAAGTGAATTCTCCAACTTTATTTGAACCATCTCAGCTGATGCCTCATGAACAGAGATGAGCTGAATCCAGTGAACCCTGAGAAATTGCAGATTTGTTACACTGCAGTAGATAACCACAACTGTTTCTCTCTCAACCTCTGGTTCTCAGACATTATAGTGTGTGCTGATGCAAAAACTCTTCAGAAATAGGGAACTATTGGTCCCATTTGATTGTTGTTACTAGGAATTTAAGTTGGAAAATGTGTTGGCACTCGCAAGTACAGGGAGGTTGGGAAAGAGGCCATGATCAAAAGCAGTCATGAAGGAGCTGATGACATCCAAGTCACTCCTACATGGCCACATATGTGTTTATATGGATCTTCACTGACAGAAACATGGTTTGACTGGAAGCCAGCATATGAGGACATTGAGAAGAAAAGTAACCTAGTTAAGAATGAAAATAATGTTGTTCCATTGATTAGAGGTTTGTCAGTTTCTCTATAGTTACCAAAACGTATTTAAAGTTTTTCCATATCAACACCAAGATATTCAGACTTTGATGGATATATTTGTTTTCTATTGCTGTGTAATACATTATGGAATAAAACACCCCAAATTTGTCATTTTGTGATTTCAGGGGGTCAGGAGATCGGAGTGGATCAACTGAGTTCTAAACCAAGGTGTATATGAGATTACATTTTACCTGAGGCTCAAATCCAATTCCAAACTCACTGGCTATGGGAAGAATTCATTCATTTTTTTGAGGCTATGCACCTGGGATCACAGCATCTTCCTAGCTCTTGGCTGGGGATAACCCCCCAAACAGACACTCACACATGGCGGTCTATTTCCTCAACATCAGCAGAAGAATCTCTCACACTCCAGAAATTTTCTTTCAAGAATGGACAATCTCTTCCAAAGGCCCACTCAATGAAGCCACACCAAGCCAGAACATTCCCCTTTATCATGAATTTAAAAGTCAACCCATTTGGAACCTTCAATTCCTTTGTAAGACCCCTTCACCTATGTCATAGAACATAATCACCAGGGTGAAATTCATTATGTTCAGCCTTGCACACACCCAAGAGGAGAACATATATGCCAGGAGTGTGGAAATCATGGGGGGGCGGGGCATGAGAATTCTGCTTACCATCCTAGGCTGATCAGATATAGTCCAGGACACC